GAGAGAGAGAGAGAGAGAGAGAGAGAGAGAGAGAGAGAGAGAGAGAGAGAGGAGTAGAAAAGCTATGCCATTCCCGACGCTGGCCCCTATCGCATCTCTTCTCTCGCTGTTCCCATCATGCCTCGAGCCAGTCCAGCAGCTCGGGCGTGAAGTAGCTCAGCACAATGCTGGCGCCCGCGCGCGCCATGGCGTGCGAGAGCTCGATGACGGCCGCACGCAGATCGTACACGCCCGCGGCGGCCGCTGCGTGCAGCGCGGCGTACTCGCCCGACACCTGAATTGTCCAGATGAGATGCAGAGGGAAGAGGAAGGGGGGAACGATCAGCTTCGCGGCAAGCAGGCGAGCAGGAAGCAAGCGAGAGAGAGAGAGGCGAGTGTGGAACGTACGTGGTAGACTGCAACAGGATGGTCGGGCGCGATGCGCTTCGCTTCAGAGACGATGTCGAGATAGATGGAGCCCGGCTTGACCATGACAATGTCTGCCCCCTCGCCGACGTCGCGCAGGATGGCGCGCCGGGCAAGCCCGCGAGCTTGTGCGGGCAGCTGGTAGCATCGTCGGTCGCCGAAGGAGGGCGCCGATGCTACTGCCTCGCTGTGGAGGCGTAGGCAGAGTCAGCGGCTGCGGCTGCGGCCACGTGGAGTCGGGAGAGGAGCACCATCGCGCTCGCCCGCGACACCCCGCCCACTTCGCTGCCCACCTGCCGACGCCCCTTCTCCTGCCGTTTACTCACCGGAACGGGCCGTACATGTTGCTCGAGAACTTGGCACTGTAAGCCATGAGCGTCGTCTTTCCCGCAAGACCCTCCTCAATGAGCTTCTTCTTGATGGCGCCGATCCTGCCATCCATCATGTCGCTCGGCGCCACACAGTGCGCTCCCGCCTTTGCGTACGCAAAAGCCACGTCTGCCAGGCGCTGCACCGAGGGGACGTTGTTGATCAAGCCGTCTGGATGCAAAATGCCGCAGTGCCCGTGAGACGTGTATTCGCAGAGACAGACGTCGGCTGCGACGTAGAGGGTGGGGAAACGAGATCGAAGCATCTTGATGGCGGAGATGACGGGCCCTTCAGGGTCGTCGGCGAGGGTGCCGGTCTCGTCCTGGAACGCCGGCTGTCAGCACTTGCACTTGCAGTCGAAGGCGTGTGTTGAGGCAGAGCATCTCGCTTGTGCAGTCCACCCTGGCAAGACGGCAATGCTCCCACTATTCTGCAGCAATGCCACCTTTGAGCACGCAGCACTGTGGCAAGCAGAGCACGCCTCGTCGTCCCGCGGCGCAGGCCATCACCGCACGCCGCCTGCTGCAAGCCTGCCTCCATCTGAGCCCTTCCCTTCCATCCCCACCCGCAGCAGTCACGCACCTTGGGCTTCTTCTCCGGCACGCCAAACAGAATGACACTGCGCAGGCCCTTCCTGACGAGCGGCTCGATGAAGCCGGGCAGCGTCTCGACGCCCCAGCGGTGCTGGTTCGGCATGCCCTTGAGCGGCGAGTTGCACTGCTCGTCATCCGAGATGAACACTGCGAAGAGCGCAGCAGCAAGCCTGGCGTCAGTGGCGGTAGAGGAATAGGGACGGGGGGCGGCGAGAAGAGCACGCACGGGGCAGCATGAACATGCTCTTTGTCAAGCTGGAGCTCTGCGCGCTCCATGCGCGCGTGAGGTCGTGTGCGTAGCCGCCGTGCAGCTGCGAGGAGATGTCGGACATGCTGTGCGAGCAGGAGGGAGGGGTGGAGGTGGTGGTGAGGACGCAAGAGACGCCGCAGAGGCGCGCGAGTCGTACGACGCTCGGCCTCGGCACGCCTCGGCCTCCGAGCATCGCGGACGTGGCAGCGTGGGAAAGAGGCCGTGCGCCGGAGCTCGCGGCACTGCGCCCCCCGCACTCCTTCTCGGCCTCCTCCCTTGCGCTTCGCTCGCTTCACTCCACCACAGCGCCGCAAGCTTCACACATTCGCTCGCACAATCATGCATTCGTATCGACACGTCTTCTCGTCATTGTCCCACAGGCCATGATCCAGCCCAGTCCCGTCGCCTCCCGTCGTGCCGCACCACCTCTTCACGCGTTGAGTCGAGGCATGACGACAAAGGCCTCACTTGCTCGGCGCCGTGGCCGTCGCGGCAGCAAGTTGGCCGCCCGTCATGAACTTCTGCGGTCACTCTCGTGTCAGTCTGCTGTCCGACAACCAGAGGGCTACGCAGCAGACTCGCCTTGATGCGTGCGTTGACGCGGTTGTTGATCTCCTTGCGCCTGCGCCGAGCCGCACTCTGCGCATCAGCTGCGTGCGAGAAGGGGGAGCAGAGGGGCAAACATACGAGCGTACCGTGCCACTCTTGTAGCGCTGATGGTACGAGCGCAGTCCAGCGATGAGGACGTCGTAGTTGGGCTTCCAGCCGGAGACAATGTCTGCGCGGCGGCAGTGGGGTCAGCGATGACGAGAGCGAGGTGAGGCGAGAGAAGCAAGCGTAGGCCGTACCGTCGATGATGATCTGATCCTCCGCGGCGCTCCAGGCGGGATTCTGATGCTTCGCCGTCAGCTCCGCTACGCACGAAGCCGAGAGAAGGGACGACGCACCTTGTTCTTCGGTCCCTCGCTCGGCGCCTTGCGCTTCTTGGTAGGACTCGCAGGAGGCTTCTTCTCATCCGCCTCTTCTTCCTCTCCCTCCGCGTCGGCGTCGGACTGGGGCTCTTCCTTCTTCGCTGTGGCTTTGATGGGCAGACGATCGGCTTTGGCCGCAGGCTTGGACGCGGGCTTAACCTTCTTGGCCGCCGGAGCCGGAGCGGGTGAGGCCGCCTCCTCCTCCTCGGAGCTGGAGTATTCACGCTTGGAGGGCATGCTCATTGTGGGGACGTTGGCTTGCGAGGATGAGCGTGGGATGCAGTGGTCCGGAAGGCGGGAAGCGTGGCTTATGACTGATGAGCGCCGCGCTGCGCTCTGTGCCGCTTCCGCGCTGACGGCCAGATGGGCCGGCTGTTCGGCCTCGAGGCGCGCTGGAGCAGAGTCGACTGATGCGACGCCTGCTTGTACGTATGCGCGGCGCGGCACGGAGCGAGCGGTGATGAGCAGCCGGCGAGTGAAGCGAAGGGACGGAAGCTATCGACGGGCCGTCCAGTCTGATGGGCAATCTTGTGAGAGCTCGACGGGCCGCCGTGGCCCCGCGCCGGAGATGCTCCTGGCCGTCTCTCGAGCTCGTGCGGATGAAGCTCGCTGAACATCTCCTCTCTCTCACAGCGCTCAAGGCACACAGCTGAAACGACGTGCACTTCGGGCAGCTGATGACTGTGGCGCGCTGCGACAGTGGAGCGTGACGAGCTGTGAAGCGAGCCGGGTACCTTGCCGCTCGATGTCCCCTCGAGCGGCTGCTGACGCCTCTCTGACAAGTCCGTCTCTCCTCCGCACAAGGCATATAAGTGCATCCTGAATCGTCACTCGTCATTCTCTTCCCCACCCTCTCTCCTCTCAACGTCTACATCTCACGAGCAAGCATGCCTCCCAAGCGCGACACTTCCGCCTCCGAGAGCGGCAGTCCTCCTGCCTCGCCTAGCAAGCGTTCCAAGGCCGATGTTGCGCCTTGGAGCGTGAAGGAGGACAAGGTGCGTCTCTCTCGCAGCGCAGCCATTGACTCTCGCGTCGTGCTGAGCTTCTCGCCCGATCTGCTCAGGTCTTCCTTGAGTACGTGTCATCCCTCTTGCTGCTCGGCTGCGAGCCGAGGCTGAAAGAAGATGAGTAGCGCCATCCTAGCGTCCTACAAGCCAGACTTCCCCGCCATCCGCGCCGAGCTGGATCGTATCGCCGCAGAGAACGGCCAGGAGGTGCGCTCGATCAAGACCGTCTACGTGCGTGCCCCTCTTGTTGAGCGGCAGGCCGCGCGCTGACCTCGTCTGCCAATCGATCCGACCCCAGGCGAGGAACGAGAAGATCAAGAAGGACGGTGAGCGTCTCACAGAACGGCGGCGGCGGCGGTGCGGACGAAGCTAATCTAGTGCTGATGAGTCGTGCCGCTCTCCAGTTGCCTCGATCCTCAAGGCCGCCGGCAAGAAGTGACGCTTCGTCCATTCTCATGTCGGCTCCTGAATGCCATCTGTTCCACTTTTCCAGACGTGGATGACGGTGCGACCTGATGCAGGCGATGGCGCGAAGAGCTTGCGGGACCACTAAGACTGTGCCGTTGATGAGCTTTGTGCCTCCGCCGCTCATCCGCGTCCGATGTGGCGAAGTCGAGTGCCGGGCAATCGCGGCTGCTGTTGTACGCCGTGATGAGGTGTCCCACTGCCGCCCACCGCGAGGCTGCTGCGAAGCGACAAGAGCACGGCGCTGTGCCACTGTACGGCCAGCCGCCGAACCTCACGGCCCATCTTGTGCACCACCACCTTCTTCGCCTCCGCTCCTCCTCACAATGCCAGCCAAGGCCAAAGGTCGCAAGGCCGCCCCTCCCTCCGAGTCCGAGTACGAAGAGTCGGGCTCCGAGGAGGTCGTCGCATCTCCCGCGCCCGCCGCCGAGGAAGAGTCGGAGACTGAGGCCCAAGCAACACCCAACGCGACGCTGAGCGCTTCGCCGTCGCCTCCTCGCGAGGCATCGTCGTCCAAGATCTCCAAGGGCAAAAAGCTGCCTTCACCGTGCGGCGACGGCTCGATTGTGGAGGGTGAAGCGCCCGATACGCCGCCGTGCAGCCAGGCCAAGACGAAGGGCAAGCAGCCGGCGCTCAAGTCGTCGATGAAGAAGCGCGCGCCGACTCCTGCGGCCAAGAAGAGCAAAGCTGCTGCGAAGCGCGACGCCACGCCGGAGGAAGAGGAGGAGGAAGAAGAGGAAGAGGAGGAGGCGGCTGCCGCGAAGAGCAAGAAGCGTCGCGAGTCTCCAGCGGACGAGGAGTAGGCCGAGGAGGCCGAGGAGGAAGAAGAGCGTTCACCTTCGCCGCCGCCGCCCAAGAAGCAACCCGTCAAGCGCGCGCCGAAGCAGCCTGTCGCTTCGAAGAAGGCTGCAAGCAAGTCGGCCGCTAAGGCTCCGAGCCGCTCCGCCTCGGGCACGCCCAGCGCCGATGCTGCCGAGGGCGAGGAGGAGGGCGACTCGAACGAGGAGGCATCGCGCGAAGCGACGCCCAAGCCGGTTATCAAGAAAGCGGCTGCATCGGCCAAGAAGACAGCGACGGCGGCGAAGAAGGCACCGGCCAAAGGCAAGGCCACTTCGAGCACGTCGAGCAAGCCTGACGTCGACGCCGACGCCGAGGCTGACGAGCAGGAGGCGGAGGAGAAGCCCGCCAAGCCGGCGAAGCAAGCAAAGAAGCGCAAAGCCGATGATGAAGGCGACGACGTCAAGGAGACCAAGCCGGCGAAGAAGATCAAGAGCGACGGCGACGCCAAGCCGGCCAAGGCCAAGTCTTCCGCGCTTCGTGCGGCCGGCGCTCGACCTGGCGCGTGGCTGCCCGTCGAGGAGCAGGCGTTCCTCAACGACATCCTGACGTCGTACAAGCCGGAGTGGAAGGTGAGTGAAGTGGCGGCACCCAATCCACAACATTCGCTGGCGTGAGAGATTGCCGCTCTGTCTTGCGCATCTCGCTGACGCCCAAGCCCGCGGCGTGCCCAGCACATCGTCGAGGTGATCAACGCCGCTGGCGGCCAGAAGCGCGACCAGAAGAGCTGCATGAATCGCTGGCCGAGGCTGAAGAAGCATCTCATGGTGCGTGCCTCTGCGACTCACGATGGCGTGCGCCGGAGCTGACTTCCTCAGCAGGACAGTGTCAGCGGCTCCTCGTCGTAGCCTACCTGCCTTGCTCTCGCCCCGCCCCGCTCCACCATGTGCCTCCCACCTCTCGCACGTCGCTGTGGCCCAGACGCTCTCACTGGCCCATCCTCCGCCGCGATGCAACTGATGCTGTCCATTGAGCCTGCTGCTGTGACGAGTCGGCGCTGCGGCGCGTGCAGCGTGCGGGTGGTGGTCGGTTGGCAGGGCCGGAGGGAAGCAGCGCCGAGAGGATGAGGAGAGGGCGGGCTCGCGGGACTCGGGCAACGCGCGAGCGTGGGAACACTGCGCCGCCAGAAAAGTCTAGTTGCGCGGCGGGCGCGTGACTTTCTCCCGCCGCACCCTGGCTCGCTGCTCGGCCCGCTCCCTGCCTCCTCACCACATCCCTCGCGCACACCGCGTCAAGGCACCCCTCGCACGCCGATGCTGCCGCACGCCGTTCGCACTGCCAGCCGGCGCGGCTTCCACGCGACCGCTGCGCCGCCAGCCAGTGCGCAGCGCAAGGCGGCCGCCCGTGCCGCTGGGCGTGGCAAGGCGGGCGCTCCCGCTCGGCCTCGCCCCCGCCCACAGCAGCAGTACAGCAGTGGCGGGCATGGCGGCGCCAACTTCTTCCGTCGAGAAGCGCCGCCGCATCGTATGCGCTCCGAGCCGCATCGAGCTCGGCAGCCGCAGCATCCGCCGCAAGAGCCACGCCTGACGCTGCGCCAAGCCGAGCGCGCCGTTCGCGCCGATCTCGCCTCGCTTTCCCGGCGCCTCTCCGACGCCACACAACGACAGACTGCCGATGCTGCTGCTGCAGAACTGCCGCCACTGGATGAAGAGACACTCGAGACGGTGTATCAGGCTTTACAGATGCCCGAGCCACCAGATGCAGAGACGCAGCGTCTTGCGGCGCGCGAGGCTCAGCGCGTTCGCATCGCAGCTGCAACGATGCAGGCACGACGCATGCTGCCTCGCCCGGCAGGCAGCGATGCGGGCCTGGCGCAGCTCTCACCAAGTCAGAGCCATGCGCTGCGTCTGCACTCGCGCCTCGAGGCGCTCGTCACTCGCCTGGGCGAGATGGATCGAGGCGTAGGAACAAGCGGCGGCGCGGCTGCTCTCGAGGGCCTGGCGGCTGAGCGTCTGGCGCTGGCAGATCGAGTCGGCGACTTGCTCGAGGCGCGTCGAGCTGCTGGCTCGCAAGCTGCACCTGCTCTCGATGTGCCGGAGGAAGAGACAGCATCTGCGTCCCTGGAGCAGCACGTCTCTTTCGATGCCGTCGAACTGGTCGCCGCGCCGCGACACACAGCGGTGCAGGCTATGCCCGAGGCCAAGGCCCTCTTTACATCCTCAGAGGCGCGCAATGCGCTGCTCGACAAGGTGGAGCAGATGGTGCAGCAGCTGCCACAAGTCGCGGGCGAGGCGCTGCCGGCGGGACTGGTCGGCGGCGGAGAGTGGAGGGCGTTGGCGGTCGCGAGCGTGAGTAGCGCGAGCGATGTGTCGTCGTCTCAGTTGCTGTGCTGATTCTGGCTGCAGGCCGTCGACATGGACGACGAAGCTCTGAGCCGATGCATCGATCTCATGCGGGTGAGCTGCCTTGCTTCTTCGAGCCCGCTTGCCGAGCTGACGGGCTTCTGTTCAGCGATCTGGCGCACCGAGGGATACCTCCTTCTTCAATGCGCTGCTGGACGTGTACGCCGAACGAGGCCAAACGGAGCGCTGTGCGGCTGTGCTGAGCGTCATCAAGGCCAGTGAGTCACGCGAGCAGAAGCGGGCTGAATTTGCAGGCTCACCTTGCCTCGCAGACCAACTTGAGCCCGACCTGCACACGCACCATTGCATGGTCAAGGCGCACATCAAGAACGACCGGCTCAACGTAGCGCTGGCCACGCTCAACGAGCTCGAAGAATCCACCCCCGCGAGCATGGCCACCTACACGATGGTGCTGACCGCGCTCCTCTCTGCGCCTCGCGCTGCTCAACCTACCTTCTGGTCGCTCTTCCACCGCATGCGCCTCTCAGCGCACCCCGTGCCCGATGCGCCTCTCTACGCCGTCGCGATTCACGCGTGCGCCCAAGGCATTCCGAACCCTGGCGAGCCAGGTGCAGCCGAAGCCGACGCCGAGCGCGCACTGGATCTCTTTCGCGAGATGACGACGCACCACGGCATCCGGCCCACAGCACAGACGTACAATGCGCTCATGCTGGCGTGCGCCAAGCGACGCGACATGCTGCCCGAGGCCTTCCGTCTTCTGCGCGAGATGGTCGAGCTGGAGCGCACGCGTCTCCGAGCCCTCAGTCACGATGCAGAAGCGCACGACGCGGCCTCTCTGACGTGCTTCGCGCCCGATCGGCAAACGTACAACGCCTTGCTGCTCGGCTGTGCGCGCGCAGGAGACCTGCCTCAGGCGAGGTGGATCCTCGCAGAGATGCTTCGCTCGGCTTCGGCACTCTGGGAGGAGAACATGCATCGACCAGGAGCGAGGCTTTCAGCTGAAGAAGCACTGGAGGTGGAGGGTAGGCGACCGGACGCGGCCTCCCTCACGCACCTCTTCCAAGCCTATGCGAGCTACAAGCCGCCGCTCAAGCTCGCGAGTCTGCGCCAGGCCGCGCAACAGCCGGCTGCAGCCAAGTCGACCGCAGGCGAGCCAGCTGTGACGGCAGACGAAGAGCGCGACTCGCTCGAGCTTGCCGGCGCAGAGGAGGAGACGGCAGCCATTACGACGCCCTCCGCCGACGAGGCGGCGCAAAGCTTCACGCCGCGCGTGCCGCAGACGTCCGCCGAGGTGCTGAGCGAGGTGCGAGGGCTCATGGGCCGCATCCTCGCCGACCTCGAGGGCGGCTCGGGGCTGCTCGCCAACGTGCGCCCCTCGGCGCAGCTCCTGCACGCCTATCTCTCTGCGCTCTGCGAGCATCTGCCGCGCCCCGCGTGCCTCGCCACGGTGCGCAATGCCCTGTTTGGCAATGGCGACGACGACAAGTCGCTCTTTGCGCGCCTGGGCGTGGAGCCCAATGGCCACACCTACGAGCTGGTGCTCGCGCAGTGCGCCGCGGCTCCGGAGGGCACGGCGCCTGATCGTCTGGCCGCGCAGGCCTGGAGCGACTGGCGTGCCCTCGAAGACGCGCATCCACGAGCCAAGCTCATGCCACGCACGGCCAAGAAGCTCGGCCTCGAGGAACGCACCGTCTCGCGCATCTGGGCAGCCATGATCCGCTGCCACGCCAAGTGAGTGGCCGCTGGGCTCTGTGCGTGGTCACGCTCTTGTCCCCTGCTGACTGAACGTCCTGTTGCCCAGAGCATCGCGTCTAGACGAAGCACTCGCCTTGCTGCACGACTTTACTGCACGCTACCCGGCGCCGCCGCGTCCCGGCACGCCGACGGCTCGCGCGCCTCTGAGCTCGCTGCTGGGGCCCGTGACGGGCGGCGAGCTGGCTCTGGCCACGGGAGGCGCCGTCACGCCCTCGCCGCGCCTTAACTTTGCCGCCCTCGAGCTGCTGCATCATCGCCTCGTGGCCGCCGAGCGCCCCAAGGATCTCGCCTTCGTAGGATGGGTCGTGCACGCCTACTCGGCCAGCGCCAAGCCTCGCGTCGCGGTGCGCAAGCCGCCTCTGCCTACGGACGAGCTCTTTGCGCCACAGCCGCCGCCGAGAGGTCAGCAGGCGGAAGTGCGCGTGTGGTAGATGACATGGACATGACGGAGCTGGCCTGAATGTGTGGTGTGTGTGTGACAGACTCTCTTGGTGATGAGATGATGGACGGTTGATCGTGAACGGAGCTGATGGGCGTGACGAGATGTGCCGTGGAGGTGACGCGGGTCGTGAGGTGAGGATGGTGGTAGAGCCAGATGAGATGTGTGAAGGCAGATGCCGGAACGAAGTGAGGGGCGGAGAGGCGACGAAGAAAGTGCGCAATGCGCGCGCGCGCGCGCTGTGGCTGCTGCTCTGGGTCTTACTCGCCGAGCAGCGAGCTGCCCTGGCTCGTCTCGCATGCGTCGCAGCGACGCGCTGTGGCTGCGTTGACGAGACTGCAGACCTGGCATGCTGCAAGTGAGGGAAGGAAGCACGGGATGAGAACGAGTCAGGTTTGAAGTCATGCTTCGCCTCTGTCTCATGCATTCGCATGCGCGTGCGTGCCACTCACCCCAGGCGCCGGCGGCCTCGTCTGTGCCGCCCATCTTCTCCTTCGAGCCGCTGCTGGCCTTGGAACGACCAGCGACGGGCCGCGAGGGAGGAGGCGGCAGCTTGTCGCTGCGGAACTTGCTGGGCTTGGGCACCGTGGCGTTGGAGGAGAGGTTGCCGGAGCGATAGAGACTGCAGCGCGATGAGGCGCGAGCACGATCAGCGTCTTGTCTACGCCGCACGTGCGGGCGGGAAGAAGGCGGGGACGAGCGGGCAAGAAGCGAACTCACTCGCCCCACGTACGAGGCATCTCAGTGCCGTTGACGACGCGCTTGGGAGGCGCAGCACCCGAGCTCGCCTTCTTGGAGCGCTTGACGCCCACAATCTCCACGTCGTCGTCCGAGTCCGAGTCGCCACAGACGCCCGGGAGCGGCTGTCCGAGTGCCTTGTGCGCTCCGTTCGACGAGCCTTCACCGCGGTTGACGCTACGCTGTCGCTCCTTGCCCGTGCCGACGACCGGGTGCTCGAGCTGCGACGACTTCTGCGCGCCACTGCAAGAGATCACCTTGCTCGCTTGCGTCCTGCGAGGCGCTTCTCCGTCCAGCTCATCCACGTCCTCATCACTCTCCGTCTGGCTCTCATAGAACACCACCCCATCCTCCTCATCCTCCTCCTCCTCCTCCTCATCCGTCTCACTCTCCGTTTCCGACCACTCCGGCGGCGGCGTACGACGCCGCTGCTCTTGACGACGCACGCGGAAGTTGTCGTCAAAGTCGGCAAATGCCTCCTCGACCTCGGCCGCGGCCGCTGCCTCGCTTTGCTTCTGCCCAAACATGCGCAGCTGCGCTGCCTCGGCGCGCAGCTCACGCGCACTCTTGCTCTGCGCATGCTTGCGGAACGTCGAGTTGGGGTCCTGCACGGTGTTGATGCATCAGCTTATGCTCGGACGTGAACCCTTCGGCGGTGATGCACGCACGTCCTTGTAAGAAGCATCCTTGGCGCTCGCCTTCGGCAGATCATCTCTCCCATCAACACGACCTCCAGTTCCGGGCAGCTCGCGATTGAGTCTCTGCTTTCCCACTCCCGGCTTGATCGTATTGCCCGTCTGAGCTCCACTCGTCAGCGTGGCTCCCGGCACACGACGACGACGCTTGGCGGGCCGTCGACTGCCTGCCGTGCGCTTGACGCCCGCACGGCGACGATAGGCACCTCCGCACGTCTCGCGCGGCAAGGCGAAGTCGGGCTGCAGTTGACTCATGCCCGCCACGCTGTCGCCCTCGAGTGTGCGACCGGCACTCCAGAAGCCGTCGCCTGGCAGCGAGCTGGTCAGTCTTGGCCCATGCCATGGCCTTCCATTCATGCTCACCGTAGTAGCCCGTGCTTTGCCTGGGGTGCCGTGCATCAGCGACGCGCCTTCACGGCTGAGCACGAGACACTCACAAGCGCCGCACCTCGCGACAGAGCTCGCCGGTGAGCTTCGTGTGCGGCGAGAGGTGGTTCATGCTGCGTGCAAGCAGAGTCAGCCTTGACTTGTCTGCGTGCGTCTGGGAAGCGACGCACTGCGCGATGTGCGCGAGCTCTGTCGCAGGGCATGCATGAGCTCTCGGCCCCGACATGCGGGCCAGACAAGGCGCTCACCGTGGCAGAAGACGCGAGCGACGAAGCTCAGAGGCACGAAGCGGTCGGGGTTGCGCCGGTCGCGCAGCACGAGCTCCTGTGGCGGCAGTGTGAGCTGCGTGGCCTGCTGCACCGCCAGCCAGCTGACACCGACGATGGTCTCGCCTTGGGAAACGAGAACGACGCAGCATCAGCGAAGATGGAGGGCACTGCGGAGCTCGCGAGCGCTCACCGTTGTTCCAGTTGCGGCCGAGAAACTAGGTGCGAGGCAGTGTGAGCGAGGAGTGAGCAGCACTGTGACTCGCTCGCATGCCACGCACCTCGTCGTTGGGCTCGAACTCCTCGAGGCTGTTGACCTTGAAGCTGTACTCCTGCATGATGGGCTTGAACTGTGTGCAAGCGGGATGGGCGTCAGCGGAGCAGGTGTTGCCGTCTGCGGTGGCGCCGGCCGCGACGCACGAGGGCCGCGAGCTGGTGGAGGCGGTCCAGCGCCTCGGCATCACTGCCGTCGCGCTGTGGCTGCGCCGTGATGAAGTTGATGCAGGGGTTGCGGATGCCAGCCTGCGGGTCGTTGAGACGCGTGTGCTGAGCAGGGCACAGTGGCAGGCATCAGCTGTGCCGCCGCGGCGCGCGGTGGTGCGCATGCAGCAGCAGGCGTACTGACGACGACGGAGCGCGACGCGTCGCCGGCACGACGCTTGGGCAGCCGGGCGGGCGGCATGGCTGCGGCTGCGACGCTGCGACGCTGCGAGGCGCAGGCGAGCTCGTGGCAGCGGCGAGTGGCAGGCGGCGTGTAGAAGATGGCAGCGTGAAGGGAGGAGCGAGGTGGAGGCGCGGCGCGCTTGGAGCTGCACGCGACTACAAACTCGAGTTGAATGTGGCAGCCGCGCTGGATACATTCGCTTGGCCCTCGTTGTATTCCGCTTGGCGCAGGGGCCATGCAGGATTCAAGCTGGACCCCTGACTGGGCCGCCCCGATTCAAATGCGCGCCTCATCTGGGCCCGCTTGCCCTGCTCGTTCCACCACCACCCTCTCCCGGGCGCAGCATCCTGCACTGCGCCCTCGCGACGTCCATCTAGCCGGCCAGCATCGCAGCGCGCACCAAGCGTGCGCCTTTCCCTGGAGACAAGGCCACACACACCTCGTTCTTGCGCTCCTCGCCTGCATCCGGCCTCAACGGCTCGCTCCGCCGCTCCGCACTCGGCCATGGCCCGCGCCGGCGGACAGGCCGCTCGGCCGGCGGTCGCGTCGCCGCAGCCGCCTGTCCCGGCCGCCGATGCGTCGATGAGCGATGCAGCTGCTGAAGGCGAGGCCGCCGTAGCGGCGCAGCCCTCGGCGCCGCAGCAGCCGCCGCCGCCGCCGCCGCAGCAAGTCGCAGCACCCTCGGCCGCTGCGGCACCCTCGACTCCGCGCGCCGGCGGCAGCACGAGCGCCATTCCGAGCGTGTGCCGCAGCGCCAGCAGCATGTCTGTTTCGGCCAGTGGCAGCGCACCTGGTCCCTCGACGCCGCATTCTCGCGCGGCAGCGTATGGCCTGCTGGCCAGAGCATCGCCGCCTCCCGCCGCTGCCACTCCCTCGCTCACCACGACGCACACGCCTCGTCGTCCCTCTCTCCTCTTTGCGCCCGCCTCTCTCGCCTCCTCCTCCAGTCCCACTCCCTCGCCGCGCGACGCCACGCCGCCGCCGCCTTTCCTGCCGCCGGCGCAGCCGCAGCGAGGCCGCGGCGCCAGTGCCGCCGCTGCTCTTGCTTCACAGCATCTTGGCAGCGCCTCGTCTGCCGCCAGCAATCTCTTCGGCTTCGAGGTGACTGTACTGCGTCCTTTCGGCTCGCCAGCTCCGAACATGAGCACCTGGCGACCTCCTCACGCCCCCACTCCCGGCGCTGCCTCGCGTCTCAGCTCCGCCGCCGCACATCAGCCCACGGCCGGCAGTCCGCGCTTCTCGCATCTCGGCAGCTTCAATGCTGCACAGGCGCCGGCTTCGAGGCCTACGAGCGCGCCGTGGCCGTGGAGCAATACGTATGGAGCGCCTCATGTGCACGCACATCAGCAGCAGCAACATGCTCCGCAGAACCAGCAGAGTTGGTCGGCGCTTGCTGATCCGACGGCACTGGGTGGAACGTCAGGCGGGCAGATGCAGGGCCGCTTCGAGGAGAACTCTGTCACTGTGAGTGCCCTCCCCTTACACCGTACCGCATCACGCGAGACTGAGCCTCGCACGCTTGAACTAGTCCTTCACGTGGCGCATCTCCGATCTGGCGCTGCTACGTGATGAAGTGGAGCGATCGAGTGCGCCGCTAGACGGCGACGAGCGCTCCGTGTCTGCTGGCGGCGGCATGAGTGATGTGTGGACGACGCAGCCGATCTTCGGCGACGGCAAGTGGAAGTTGGAGCTCGTGCGTACTTCGCGTCTTCAGCCTTCGAGTGGCAGCGTGGCAGGCGACGAGGATGACAACGACACGCCGTCTGCAAGTGAGAATGCATCCGCGCCCCTCTCCTCTTCGCCCATCTCTCTCGATCATGCCAACCTCGCGGCGCACATGCTCGACGGCGATGGCAGCGGTAGCGGCGGCGGCGACGAAGCGCGCACGCTCTCGGTGCTGAGCGTCTATCTGACCTCGATGGTGCTCGACTACTCTCCCGCCGACTTTGCCATTCCCGCCTGCATCTTTCTCGGCCTCTCTCCCGCCGCGCGTTCGCCCGCCACGCGCGCCAGCCGCGGCGGCGGCTTCCTCTGGACGACGTTTGAGACGTGGGAGTTTGCGCGCGAGACGGAGTTCTGGCAGTGTCATGGCCTTCCCTCGCTCTCTGCGCTGCTCGAGCAGCACGACATTGCCGCACTCGACGCCATGGAGCTCACCGTGCAGATCAGCATCGGCCCGAGAGCTGCAGGCTCGACGCCAGCCATGGCACGCGGCAGGCCGTTTGAGATGGAGAAGCTGCACGCCGTGCCTCGCGATCTCGTCTCTGGTCTGGAAGGTCTGCTCGACTCGCAAAGCACCGGCGACGTAGTTCTACTCGTGCGCGAGTGCGGCGTTCTGCTGCCCCTCGTCGATGACGATGGCACTGGCGAGACATGGCAGCGGGAAGTACAAGTGCTGCAGATGGGAGCTCCTCTGCCTCCTGGTGCCACGCTTGTGGTGCGCGACCGAGCCATCTGGGCACACTCTGCCATCCTTCGCGTGCGCAGCGACTTTTTCCGCGACATGCTTGCCTCCTCCTTTTGCGAAGGCCAAGAGCACGATCTCGATGCGCAGCACGGGCCAGGCGCGCAGCAGCCACACCAGCAAGAAGGCATGGCGACGCTCGGCGCACGCAAAGTCCGAGTGCTGCGCCTGCCCGACGCCGACTTCAGCACGGCCTACGCATTCCTTCGCTTCCTCTACCTCGACGAAGTCGAGTTTGCCGCAGCCGAAGCACTGCATTCGGGCGGCCTGGACGAGTCATGGCTTTCGCATGGCCTTGCTGCTGCTGCTGTGGCCGGCGACGAGCAGGGAGAGACGTCGCAGACGCCAATGCCGCTGTGGGAATGGCGAGTCTGGGATGAGGCAGAAGAGGACTTGACTGCGACAACGACTCGATGCGATGCCGCGACTCAAGCCGGTGCGGAGCGTTCGACGTACGGCGTCGCCTCGTCGATGCATGCGCACGCTGGCAGTGCCACTGCGCGTCAGCAGCCGGCTGCTCGCTCCTCGCTCAGCGATCATGCTGCCAGTAGGGGCATTGGCGGCGCAGGGCCTGGGACAGGCGAGCCAAATGCCTCATCTGCTGCTCCCGTTGCCGAGACGTGGCCGCCGCGTGGAGCTCTGCGACTGGGAGGCGAATGGCGACGCGTCTCCTCGTACGCCGAAGTACAACGGCAGCAACAGCAACAGGCAGCGCCGCAACATCCATCTCACTCGGCCTCCTCCCTCGACTCGAACGCCGACATACCGACTCTCTCCCTCGGCGTCCTCCTCTTCTCCGACCCGCACTCTCATCCTCCTCCCTCCGCGGCGCAGGCGCCTCCCAGTGCGCTGGCCCTCTATCGTCTCGCCCATCGCTGCGCCGCCACTGCGCTGGCCGATCTCGCACGTGCCCATCTCGTCGCTGCCCTGCGCCCACACAATGCCTTCCCCCTGCTGCTGGCGACGGGCAGGTACGAGGAGCTGCACGTCGAAGTGAAGCGCTATGTGCTGCGCCACTGGGAACTCGTCGCGGCTACAGACGTGTTTGATCGGTCAGTCGGCAGTCCTTTCCCTCGCCCCTCCCCCCTCCCCCCCTCCCTCCCCTTTGAACCTGAAGAGAGAGAGCCAAGCAAGCTGACGTTGATGGGTGGTCGCGGCAACCCGATGCGGGGGCGCGGACAAACAGATGCATTCGCGAAGCCTTCGGTGGCGACTGGGGCAGCGATGCGGCGCTGGCGGTGCTGCCGTTCCTAAAGGCCCTGCGCTCGCCTGCCGTGCACTAGTCTGAGTAGCAAGCAGCCATGCCATGTCAGAAACAGCGCCCAGCCTCAAACCGAGCGCGCGGACCCCCCTCGGAGCAAGACACACAGCGCCTTACG